CAGTAAATATTCGCCTTAAATTCTTTGGGGTATTGAATTTATCAAATGGGGATTTTTCTGAAGTTCAATCAAAGCATCCTTTTATTTACATATAAATTATGTAAAGTACCTTAATATAGAGAGGTCCTATCTATTGAAACACACATTTGAATCTGTGTCTCTGAAAGAGTTTTGGGTTAGTGTTAAGAGTAAATATCATGAAGTCGCTAAAAAGGCCATCTTAACTTTGCTTCCTTCTGTCACAACGTACTCTGTCAACAGGGTTTTCAGCTTACAATTATACAAAAAACAAATTAAGGTCGAAATTGGATACTACCCCGGCAATGCGTATACAGCTTTCAGACATATCGAACTACTATTTTATACAATAAATAATAACTGTGAAACAATTTTATTCTTCACATTAGAACTTAAAGTATGTATACTATTTCTAGTAAAAGTTTTTATTCATATTGATTTTTGTTATTTGATGTGGAGTTCCATGAAATGAAAAGTGTTTAGTAAGGGTTCAATTATCTTAAGAGTTTAAGAACCCCTGCTTTACATAATATCGTTGCCTTAATATAGAAAGGCCCTATCTAATATTTTTATTTAGCCCAGAAACTAATTTATTGATGATGTAGTTGTTTTTAAATTATTTTTAGTCATGGGTGAGTAATCTACTCACATTTGTACAGAGCGGAATTTCGAAAAAAATGTTAAAACGATTTTGCTTATGTGGATTTCAAATTGATTGCTTTCCCACCTTCGCCTTTGAAGCATATCAATAATATTTTTAACGACTTCAAAAAAAGGAGCAGCCAAGTAGAAAAATCAGGATTTAAAAGCCCAAACCTTCCTGCGAGACAAGAGGCCATCCACCTTGCATTCCTTTCTAAAAACTTCAATTCGTCGGAATATATTTTTGTTTTATGTATGTTACCGGATAACTTTGGAGCACGTGAACAGTTTTCGATAACACCTCGTGGGTGCTCCCATACTAATTTGCCTTAGATCCGACAATTTGATCGTGAAGAAACAAACAGTAGTACTAAATTTTTATTTAAACATTCAAGTTTGTTGTTTTTTTGTTTAAAAATTAACTGTACTATATGGATTTTAACATTTATTACAACAAGTCTCAGGTTCTAGTACAAATATGCATAATATTCATAATATACCTACATACATTATATACATTTTGCCAGTAATGCTTAGCATTAATTAACGAAGTCATCCCGCTGCATCTAAGTAAATGATCAGCTCCATATTCAAGTTATCGCTTACGGCATGACATTACTTAGGTACAAAATTGTAAACTACAATTTCAAGCTCTTCATCATCGAACACCTTGCTTAATTCGGCGCTTACTTTGTCCCATTCAAGTCCATCGATACCACAGCCAATGCGGGGTATAGCTAATTTGTGTACATTATTTTTACGCTGTCGAAAGAAAAACACATATTTTACAAGTTCTAGCTTCACATGCATTTGCTTACCATATGCTCACGCATAGCAGTCAGTGATGAGCGCAGGCTATCATAGGTAGGACTACCCCAACTTTGTGGCTTTGTCACCAAATAATAAATGTAACGTTCTTTATCTTGTAAAACGGCTACACCGCCAGATTTTACATCCTGGGCCAGTAGTTTGTCCACTTGTCCGTAGATTTGTTTGAACTTTACAGCAATGCCTGCACCCATTGCAAAGTCGGCGCCAACGCAATGTGCAAGCGAATGTGTCTCTGGGGCGCTAAATAGATCTCCTTCGATTTCAGACAATTTGAATTTCTCATCCGATGACATGTTGGGGCAGAAATTTTGAACAACAGTTGAGTGAAAGGATAATTGGTGTTTGAGTGTTGTTAACTGATCTAGAATATACATATATTGTAGAATCGAAATTAGTTAAATCACAAATTTTATAGTGTAGTATGAAAGAGCACAAGTGTTTTCTAGATGGAGAAAAACTCTTTTTCTTGGAATGCCTTTAATTTGATTTTTATTCACTTCAAATAACAGTGTTGTATGTAGTTACCAAAAACTATTAAATTACATTCTTTTGTTAAAACTTAGAATTGAGCTTTTGTATTTGACTTCAGTATTGTTTAGAAATGTCATTGTGTTAACCTGCTGAGTCTTTACTTCGTGCAGCAAGTGTACATTGCACTTATTACATCACTATTGCATAGGTTTGTGATTCTCACAGTGGAAATATTCGACATCGCTCTTATAGCGCTTAATGTAAAATCTTATTCTAAGATTTGTTGCGGTTAAATTTATGTTAAAAATATTAGGGATATAAAATAATAATCTTTTGACTTTGCGAATGTTATTGCTATGTGCATAAACCTATTTTTAGGTTGAAATTATGTTAACAAATGAATTTTCATTGCTGGCAGATTTTATTGCCTTTTGTGATTTTATTTTTTAGTACAATTTAAATTTTGTAAATGTTATTTTTTTTTTTAATTTGCGCAATGATATCATGGTCAACATTGCGAAACGCCCTGTCTAAGCAAAGTTTTAGAAAGAGCATGTTTTCAGAGCTGTTTTATAGATGCTAATAACTCGCGCATCTCTGATGATATCGCTTTAAATTTGGTATAGAAGTTTAACCGAAAATTCAAATTGGGGTAACATTTCTGGAAAATGTCGCTTAGAGCGGTATGATACAAATATGCATATTTTTGTAAGGATGTATAACAAATATTAGTCTTTTACTTTGGAAATCCGAAAACTATTTGTATCACATAAATATTTTGCCGATAAATATATTAAACCATAATATAATAACCCGATTTGCACAAATTACATATGTATGCATGTATACAAACATGACAAATGCAAAGTCAGCGCTAGTCGTTTTTTCTTAAGTTTTTCATATTCAATTTCATGTTTGATTTTTCTGAATCAAGTCTACAAGTTTAGAGATTTTATAAATCAGTCAGGGTTATATATAAATAAGTAGGTAATTTAAAAAAGAGATTAATAAATTAAGGGTATAAAAGTAAAACAAAACGTCACATAAATTTCATATTTCAACTTAAGACTTTGATTGTTGCTGCCACTTCATGGAAAGTCTCGTGAAAGTGACATCCGGCTAACCATAGACTCCAATGTGCGTGAACGTGAACGCGAATCGCGTGAACGTCTTCGCACAACTTCGGGTGGATCGTAATAGTATGCAATGATTTCCACTTCAGTGTTGGCAAACACAAATTCCACAATATTTTTAACACGCAACCAACTCAGACGATCAACTTCGCCGCCAAATCTGGGTATTGCAAGCTTGTTTACGTTATTTTGTTCCTGGTAAGACAAAAAAAAAAAAAAACATAGTATGTAACTTAACTTCCAATATGCTTCATTATGCTTTACCATATGCTCGCGCAATGACATCAGTGCATAGTAAATCGCTGGATATGTGCACCTTTCATGACTACGTTCCTTTGTTATTAAATGGTATATGAAGCGATTGTTATCCTTCAATACTGCCACATTCCCAACATGTTTATGTTGCTTCAGCAACTCGTTGACTTGTCCAAATTTGCACTTAAATTGCAAACCCAAACCACTGGACATGGCAAAGTCAGCGCTAGTCGAATGCACCATAGAGAATTCCAGCGGAGCGCTGAATATGTTGCCCTTGACCTCGGTAATTTGGCATTTTGGCGGAATTTGCTTGGTGGGGAAAAAATTTAAAATTACAAATTAGAATCGGCATTTTGTAGAGTTGTTTACATATGAAGGAATGTACATACATACATATCTACACGCAAGTACACTTACCACCGGTTCATTGTAGTTGCATACCAAAATTTCGACACTATTCTCTTTGGCGAATACTTGTCGTATTAACTGCTTTACTCGTTGCCAGTCCAAGCTATCGGTGCCGCAGCAAATACGCGGCATAGCGATTTTTGTAATCTCATGAATTCGCTTTGAATAAAAAATTATGGACGTAGCATAATTGCATTGATGTGCATATGTGTGTATGTATGTGCAAGAGTGTCATAATCAAAAAATAAATACAAATTAAAAAAAAAATTGGGCTAAGTATGCTGCTACGTCGTGTAAGAATTTGATAGCTGTATCGATTACTAGTATCTCACTAGAACAAAATATGTATTAATTTGTACTATGGGAGTATACATAAATTCAAAATTTAAAGCCGTTTTTCTCGAGTTTTTGATTTTTTGGATTATGGCACTCTTGCCGCAAATGTGCGATATATACATATAATTATATATATACGTATATTGTGAAATATGATGCCTTTGAGACACTTCATGCCACTTGTAAATACTTGCAATATCTACTATACATATTTACTTGTGATCCTAATCTACTTAACGGTTACGCACAGCACGTATGGTTGGCGTTTATGGCATACGGCCCTCAACAACTGATATTTGTTAAAAAAAAAAATAAAAAAATAAAAAATCAGTACAGGCCCACTATATAGAAGAGTTCACATACAGCCCAACTAGAACTCACCTCAATCAGCTATAAGTTATCAAAATGGGTTCAAAGACGTTTTATGTCTATCAATTAAAAATAAAATAAATATTTGTGTATACACTTTTTTTAAGTTTTGGCCAAGCTTCTCCTCCTCCGAGAAACAGCAACAAGGAAACCAGCTAATTTTTGAGTTCTCTCCGATGAAATTCCTCGAAATTTCATAAAATTCCATTCCCATAGAATAAAACATACACTGCCGGAAAAAGAATTGGCGCAGAGAATTTTTCACAATATTTTCAACAATTTGTATTCAACATTTTCCTGCAATTTTTTTTTGTAAAAATATGGCTCATTCTACAACGAAAGACATAAAATAACGTTTTCTAAAATTTGCGCAAAATTCGCGAAAATTCAATAAATTTTGATGCAAATTTTCAACTTTTTAATCAAATTTTTTGGAAGTTTGCAAGTTTGAAGTTAGTCAAAAATCACGTTGATGTTTCAGGATTTTTTTCGTTGGAAGTGTTCTGCATTATTTCCGTACAAAGTATTTTTGATTTTTTTTTTGTATGGAAGAAACGTTAAGTTCTGGCTACTTCAAACTTGACTTTATTTTAATAAAATTTATTGGGCTACAAAACTGCCTACTCAAAAAAATTGTAAAAATCTGTTAAAATGTTGAAAATTTTCATGAAAATTTGTGCAAAAATCGCGAGAATTCAATACATTTTCATGCAAAATTTCAACTTTTTATTCATATATTTTGGAATTGTGTAAGTTTAAAGTTAGACAAAAATCTCGTTTGTTTTTCAGAATTTTTTTGTTGAAGGCCCTAGCTTTATTATAATAAAATTTATTGCGCTGCAAAACTGCATACTCAAAAAAATTCTAAAAAATCTGATTAAAATGTTGAACATTTGCATGAAAATTTATTCAATTTTTCCGGGTTTTGCACAAAGTTTCGAAAACATATTTATATATTTCTTGTTGTAGCATGAAACTCGATTCCAAAAGAAGCGAAAACGGTTCGGGAAAAACTCGATTCCAAAATAAACGTAAAGCGGTTCTGGAAGAACTGAAATTCGATTCCCATAGAACCGAAAACGGATCCTACAGAACCGAAAATCGGTCCCGAAGCGCAAATTGATTGTTTTGGCATAAAGTCTAAAATGAAGATATCAGCCTGAAATTCGTTTTTTAGCTTTCTTCTTCATCTTTGACGCTTTCGATTCGCTGTCACCAGCGATTTGAATGAAAAATCATGTTTTTAAATGGAAGTATTACTTTGTTTTAAATGAAACCTTAACGTGGAAAACGCTTACTTAAATTTCATTTCATGAACAAATTTTATTTTTATAAAATTTTTGCAACACAAAGATCAACTAAGGAATGAATGTAATATATTTAATTATTTACTTTACTTCACCTTTTAACAAAAATATAAAATGAAATTGAATTTTTGTATAACCCTTTTAAAATCGCTTGTTAAGCTTTTTCGATAGAGCGTATTTCCGTTACCACTTTTTTGAGAACCAGAACCGGTCCAATTTGCCGGTTCACCTTGGAACCGAGAACTCGAAAGAACCGGTTCTTTAAGTACACACATCACTGCGTAACAGTAGTAAGGGTTTTGTTTTTATGAGTTTTGAGTTGTGTCGTTACTACAGAGGACCATCGATATGTACATACGTACATACATGTGTATAAGAACAATTCAACGGGAAACTCAATTCAAACGCCAAACCGCCACTTTTTTCGGGCTTCGTTCGGTTCGGTTCGGTATATTTTGAAATGCCAAAAACCGAACCGAAAACCACTTCAAAAAATGGTTCGGTTCTGTTAAATATGAAAACCAACTTAAGTTAAACTGCTAACTAGGGCTAGAACTATCCGTATATTAGGATATCCGTGCAGATATTCGTGTGTACGGATATACATAGATAATCAGGATTTCCGGTTAATATCAGTGGATTTTGCTTTGCGGATATCCGGTTAATAAACGTTCCTTTTGTTAACCAAATTTTCGCTCATACGGATATTGGAATTTTCTAATTAGATGTTCGAATATTCGGATTATCCGAATGGGACGCCCAGCCCTACTAGTCTATCGAAATAGGGATTTCAACACTAAGCCAACATTTTGAGTATCAATTCAAAATCTTGTCCAAACATTAAAAAAGTTTATTAAAATTTTTGTAATTTTGCCTTACTGTCTCCACGAATTGGCTTATCGTACAATAAATCAAGCCAATCTGTTTTCTTTAAAAAGTTTTTTGAAATCCTTGCTTGCATTTTTCAAAATTGTTTTTTTTTTTTATGTGGTTGAATTCCAAAACCATACTCTTTTAAATACTACATATTTCCTGCGCAGCAAATTTTCCAATTATCAATATTTTTAGCTGCAAATCTCTGCCACTCTCATCAACTCATCGTGTTTTTCTAGTTTTCCATTCTCAATCTAATTTGGCTGCAAATCATGTGCCTTAAAAACCGCTAAGTATTTCCGATTTCTTATCACCCCATCGCCGCCTATTTTATTTATTTTTCCCTAATACATAAATTAATATTAGAAATGTGTTGTGTAGAAATTCCAAATTACCATATGTTCACGCATACAAATCAGCGCTGCATGCAGTGTATTGTATGTTGTCGTCTCGTAGACATTCTCCTTGGTCACCAGAAAGTAAATGAAACGCGACTCTTGCTCCATAACGGCGACATTGCCCACGGTTATCGGCTGCTTGCTAAGCTCATCGAAGTTTCCAAAAATTACCGCAAATTGCCAGGCGAGAGAGCCCTTTACCGTATTCAAATCGGCTGAGACTGCGTGCGCCAGCGCATATGAATCGGGCGCATACAGCAAATTCGTTTTCATTTCGGTTAATTTGAATTGATGCATTTTTTTTTGTCGTTGATTTGCCTGGGCTAGTGGTTGATATTTTTATTATCTTGATTTTATTTCAAAGCTCGTAATTGTTATTATTGGCGCGATTATTGACGATTGCTGATGATTGTTATTGATGGCAATGATTTTCATTTGGTGGCATGACAACGTACATATTTATGTATGTATGTAGAAATCATAAAATTTAAAGCATCAGTCATTGGCCGAAGGCATAAAACATACATTTATGTATATTGTTCAATATGGAATAATAAAAAAGAAAACAAAATTACAATAGTTATGGTGGTGAAAGAGTAATGAAAGTTTGCAAGAATGGAAAATTAAATATGTATGGATATTTGTCATATATGCAATGGTCAAAAGTATTGATAATTATAATTTAGAAAATTGAATATGAAAGTACTCAGCTCACAGTAGTTCAGTAAAGACCAAAATCCCAAAAATATGTACATATGTACATATGTATGTATTTATACCCTATAAACATTTTGGCGAACGTTCGAAAATTACCTTCAATATCCAATATGAATATCGAACTGAGAACGAACTCATAATCAACCTTAGTTTTCCAACGTTCATAGTGTATTGGAAATACATTCGAGATGGGTTCGAAAAAAAATGGAAACCACAGTAACAAGAGAGTAAGTGAAATCTAGCTCATTTTGCAAGGGAAATATAAGACAATCACTCTCTCTCATTAAAATTTTAATTCGAAAATGCGTTGGATTTCGAATTCATAACGAAGGAAAAAAGCATTGGATAACGAAGGTTCCGTTTTGCTGGAGAATGGCCTAGTTCTCGAATCGAATACTAACCTATTCCACATTCGTTATCGAAGGTGAGACTTGAAAAAAATATTAGTTTTCCGATCATTTTCGAATTGTTAACCAAGCCCAATGTTTATTGGGTATTAGTAAAATTAGAAACTATGAGCGTTATAGGTAAACACTCCTTGATTCCGGATTAAGAAGCAAAAAAGATATGTGTATCTTCTTCGTCTTGGTCGGTGCTGTAAACGCCTTCGCGATTATAGTCGAATCCAATAAAGCAAGCCTTCGGGGCAAAGGTTTTTTTTTCATCATTTTCCGAACTTCACTCTTAGCTCTGATCCCGTTCCCAATAGAAAACTTTTTTTTTATTTATTTACTTACATATATATTGAGCCCTAACCGCCACAAAAACGTAAGCGAAAATTTTTTGAAATTCTTTTTTTTTTATGTATGTACAAAAGCATTTAGATGCTCAGGGAGGACTTTACATTCAAAACAGAATTTAAAAAAAAATGTCGCTTACGTAATTTTGGCGATTAAGGCTTGATATGAATTGATACATATCAAACCTGCTTAAGTCCATCATAAGACCATTTCGGGAAATTATGATTCTTTCTCTTCTTGCTGTCTATGTAAAGTAGCTTTTGCAAAACTGTAAAAATGTTTACAAAATTGATCTTGGAAGCATTTAGCGAAGAAAAACCATGGACTGTTCTTGTACTGTTTTCAGCAAGGCATAAAGCAAACCTTGGTTCGGTCGCTCTTAGAGGGACAGTGCTTGAATACTCGGATGAGGTCAAAAATCTGGGTTTTACGCTTGATAAGAGACTTAATTGGAACTCCCATCTTGATAGAACGGTTGCTAAAGCCACACGGGCCATGTGGGCCTGTAGAAGACTTTTTTTTGGAAGAACATAGGGATTGAGCTCAGCGCTGAAAGAGTAGTTCTACCGTATGGTCGTCCGTCCGATTGTGTCTTCTGCATCCATAACATAGTGACAGCAGGCATGCCTCTCCGTCACTGGATCTATAAGTACGTGCTCAACTGCGGCTCTAGAGTCGCTTGTGGGATGGACTCCTCTTCATATTTTTATTCAGAAAGCAGCAGCCACGAGGGAGCTGCAACTTCGACTATCTAACAACGGCTTCCTCACAAAGAAGCTTCATGCAGGTATTCTTGGGATGATACCAATAAAAACATTGTTTATTGAAAGAAAACTACTAGTCAAAATATCATAAATTAACAGTTAGTCGATTAGTTGTTGTATGTAGTTGAAAAAGTTAAAGGATAGTGTTAGTCGGTCAGGGTGAGTCGATTTTTTGTTTGTTTTAATTACTTTTGTTAATCGATTAACCCATTAATGGACTAGTCTATTAGCAAGAGCCCTACACCAGACACGCGCTTTGTTGCTCTGTCTCATTTCAAGAAAGCAGAACAGATATTGTGATTGTTGCTACCGATGTCATCGGCATACCTTAGCAATTGTGCGCTTTTATAAAAAATATTATCTCTTGTAAAACTTCTCCAAAATCTGATTCGAGGGATCATCCTACAAGGAGTCGCCTTATTTAAACCCTCGTTTGGTATCAAAAGTTTCTCAACAGAGTTGGGAGATGTGCATTAAATTTTGAGTGTACTAGGTCTTTCAATTTAATGAAAAGTTTCTGTGTTCCACTAACATGTGTGTTTGATTTTTTATTTATTTTTTTCACTAGTTTTTCAGTTTAGTGAAAAAATGTTTCACTAGGCTGAAGAAATGTTTTTTTTTTCACTATTCGGTTGTTAATTTTAGTAAATTGTTTTTTTATTTCACTATCACTTATTTTATATTAGTGAAAACTGTTGCACTATCACTAGCTACTAGTATAAACTGGAAATTTAGTGCACTACCCCCAAATCTGCTTCTCAATTCTGATTGAAGTCAACGTCATTTTACGCGGCCGTATTAGTTTCACGGGGATGCCAAATTCAGAAATCGTTGCATATAGGCAACTCCTTTTAGTTCTGCCGAATGCGGCTTTCAAATCGACAAAAAGATTGTGTGTGCCGATATTGTTCTCGCAGGTCTTTTCTAAAGTGTGCTCTGTGGAGCTGTGGAGGCTGTTTGGCGTATTGCGCAAATTGCAGGACGCCGCACAGTGCACTATGGTCTGGCAGCTACTATTTTCTAGCCAAAAATTATTTTTTAAAGGATTGATAAATCCATTTCTTTTTGTCCCTTCACTAAATCAATTATCCGGATTAAAAAAGTCATTATTTTCTTAAAAAGATTTCCCATTGAGATATTAGCTGTTAAAGTTGACATTTCTGCAAAAAGTTGATTTTTTTTTTTGTAGTCAGCATTCCCATAGTTCGAATCGGAACAAGTCTTCGAGTGATAAAGATAGGTAATTCAAAAAAAGAGAATAGAAATGTATAATGAAGGTAATATTTGTCTGATTAACAAAAAAAAAAACTAGAATATAGCTTGCTAAATAAAATAAAATTCATTTTCAAAATGACTCTAATTTGGGTAATAATATTCCAATAGTTTCATTTGGTGGTCTTCAAGCTGTGTGGGCAATGAAAATGTTTAATTTACAGTTTGTGGACTGAGAATCATGTTGCAATTTCTTGCACTTTTTGAATAATGGGCTTTTTTCTTAGAAAACTTCTACGTGTCTTTTGCCGTGCTATTCGATATTTGAAAAGAAGCAGTCAGCTAAGATACCAAAAAACCGCCGTTTTAAACCTTTTTCTGCAAAATGTTATTAAGGGAGTGCTCCCCGAAGAATATAACACCTGCTTATAGGAAAGAGCAAGAATGATATGCAAGTACATAGGTGAAAAATGCATGTTTGCATTTTTTGTTCAAACTTGTGCGTTACGTTATTTTTTTTTTAACTTTATACCCAGCCTAATTATAACGAAGGTGGAACGAAGTGTTTTTATGTGAAGCATCTATGATTGGGGAAAAATATATAGCAAAAATGTGGTCTACTATTTTTTCCAAAAATTTCTTTGCTCCGAATCCGGTAACCCCTTATTGGACCCGCGTTTTGAATTTAAAAAATCTGACATCGCCACCTCGAAAGCCCCTTAGGTATATAAAAGTTTTTGATGAAAAGGAAACAATTATAAAATTTGGTTGCCATATTGGATCGGCCATTTTGAGTTTCAAAAATCAGACATCAGATTCGAAATCAGCAACCTCGAAAACCCCGCATTTATATGAGTTTGTGGTGAAAAGGAACAAATTACAAGATTTGGTCACCATATTGGATCCGCCATTTCGAATTTAAAAAATCTGACATCGAATTCGAAATCAGCGACCACAAAAAACCCCAAAACACAACAGTTTCAAATAAATTTGGTTACTTCTGGACTTTTGGCCAGCAAATAGTAGTCGCCAGACTATAGTGCAGTGGTTTAAAATCAGTTGAAAGTGGAAAAAATTCAATACCTCGTAAACGATTAGCCTAATCAAACCGGAAATTGATATAATGAAACTTCAAGGACCACTTAATACTTAAAATATTTTTGTATACCATCCCTTTATGGGACTGTCTTAAGACGTGCCGATTTACTCACTTCTGGAATATAACGCTTTCGAAAAAAGTGTAAGTATGTGCCTTGTTTCTTTTCGTTTCGACAGGATGTAAACTGCATTCTAATGGAACTCAGGAGTGTATTCGGCCAGTTTTTTCGCATACACTCCTTATTTACGAAACTAGTGAACTACCAGAGGACTTGAGAAAAAATTTACTAGTTTTGAGATTTTTTCAGTATTATCTACTCTCTGCGAAAAAAAAGTTTAACTTTTAGTCACTGCATATTGAATAAATGTACTTATTTTATTTTCATTATAATGAGTTATAAAATGGACATGATTATTTTATACTTACGTGTTTAATGTATTCCACAACGTGTTTTTGCTTAAATTAATTTCGACTTTTTGCAATTTTTTTTTTGTCTATTGTTTTCGCAATGTTTTTTCGCACTTTCAAATTGTTGGCAGTTTTTCATTAGTGATACAACATGACACTTTATTATTGTTTTTGTTTGTTTGTTTGTTATTCTTTTTGTTATTAAATATACGGTTGGTTGCACAGTTGGTGGTTTGGTTAATTGGTGCCTTTCCGGCTGCTACACTTGCGTTATCTAGTTACTTAGCTATTATTTTCGGTGCTGTTGCTTGCTACTACCGTGCTAGTTGATTTAGTACTGACGACACCAAACACCAATGAAAATGACATAGTGAAGATACCTTATTATAACCAACGAGAAGCGACCGTCGACCGTCGACCGTCGACCGAATGCAGGAAAGGCACACTCACCTAAACATTTAAAATAATCATTGGATTCCAATGAGTTGGATGACAGAGCCGGCCGGCCGGTTGTTCGGTCGACTTGGTGCGCAACCGCTTATGTACATACATATATGTATATGTACCTACATATGTACATAACTATCTCCATATATAATATTTATGGCCGCACGGAAGCGAAAGGAAGTAAAAATATGCAACTATATACTTTAGACTGTTTCAAATAAAACGAATATTTCTTTTCTTTCAGCCCATATGAAAATTTTGTTTGTCGGTCACAAAAAAATAATTGTGGCAAAATTTCAGCCTCATATCTTCATTTTGCAGTTAGCGCTCGCGAAAATAAGAATGGCCAAATTTTTTTCCGCTACTTTTTTTTTTAATAGACAATTAAAATCAACAAATAAAAAAACAAACCTGTAGCCCATTCAATTTGAGTATAATAGGTGCAAGCATGATACAAAAATAGGAAGGTAGAACCGCTGAGAGGAATTTTTCAAACTCTTGACGTTTTCAAGTAATTTAATTTTAAAATTTTACACACAAACTCACACACACATTCTCATTTTCAATCTCAAACAACAACAACTTTGAACAATTCCTTCTTTTTTACTCTCAATTTTATATGATTTTAAAATGTTGGCAAACTTCAAAAAAAAAAATCATGGCCGACGAATCGAGAGAACGGTTTTACCTTACTATATTTTTATCATGGATGCAAGTTTGAATTTGCTAGGACTTAACGTTGATTTTTGGCATTTTTTTTTTGTTGACGGTGTCAGACATTTTCTTCCATACAAAGTGTGTTCGTCGACTTGTTTATATAGAAAAACAAGTTAGTAAAAAACAAAACCGACTTAAATTCTCATATAAAAATTTAAGAGTACCGTTAATTTCTTCATGATCCAATGATCGGATCAAAACCCAATTAGTATGGGACTACCTCTGAGGTACCACCTTTTAATTTTAGAAATCGGTTAACGTGGTCCAAAGTTATGCGGTACTAAAATTGAATGGGCTACAAGGCTGTTTTTTAATTTGTTATATTTAATTGTTTATTAAAAAAAGTAGGGGATTTTTTTTTTTTATAAAGTTCCTATTTTTGCCAGCGCTTACTGAAATATGAAGACAGGAGCTGAAATCTTTCCACAACTATTTTTTTTGTGACATACAACGAAGTTTTCACTGCAGTGAAGCCACCCTTTTTGCGTTTTTTTGACAAACAGGTAATTTTGAGTTAATGCACTTTTGAGGAACGTATGCGATACATACATACATATGTATGTTATGCATGTACGTAATTGGCTACGAGTGCGTACTCGTACTTTTTAATGCCTTTTGAATTATTCCAGCTCTAGATAGTATGTATTTGTATTTACATATGTACATACATACACACATGTATGTGCACATATGTACATATGTAATTGAGCATGAAGTTTTTTGTATTTTTTTATCTTCTTCGCGCTCGAATATTTGCAATCAATCAGTGTTGCCACGGAGAAAGTTTGTTTCCTACCAAAAGCAATCAAACCTACCAAAATTTTTTTTGGTTTTTTTAAATTTTTTTCAATGTCAATGTTTCGTTGCCTTTAAACCCTTCATGTCCCAGAATCCACCACAGCGTTATGCTATTGTGGGCTCCCAGGTAGTTCAAAACAGGTTTACAAGAGTCCACAAGCCTTGCTGTCGTTTTAAAAGAGTCTAAGGCATTAACCGCTGCCTGACTATCCGACTTAATATTTATTATGGCCACATTTGCTCTTCTACGAAGACATACGGGAACACAGACCTCGATTGCGAAGACATTCGCCAGGAATATCGTTGGTTATGTGCCCATTGGCTGACTTTCTTGGAATCTTGGTCCATATATACCTGCCATCTATCCCGCCGTTCATATTCAATCTATCGGTATACCATACTTGTGACCTTTCGCCATTGCTGCTTATTATCGCTTCACAGCACTTTCTTTCAAGAATGCTGACCTTGTAGGGTTTTTAGAAGGATAACTCGGGATCAACCAGGAATGACTTGAGAACCCCCAAATGACCCCAAGATCTTCACTTTTTATGCTGATCGTATTGGGCAGCCGTAGGGGACTCCAGCAGGCCTCCTTTTCTAACAGAATAGACAAAGGAGGAATGCCTGTAATGACTCCAAGGTGCACATAGCACCTGTGATGGCAACGCGGACCAGTCGGTGCAGCTACTCAATGTGACACCGTCGTTTCCTTGCTTAGCTTTTGGCCAACAGGCCAGTGCCGCATATGTAACAACGGGTTTTACTACCATACTGAAAGACTAATACGTTAGTTTGGGTTATATTCCCCAAGTCTTACCATGAATTCTATGCCAGGCATAAAACGCACTTGTACTCTTTTGTCCAGAGTTATCCCTAGATAATTCGCCTCTTCTGAAAACTCAAGGTGGATCTTGTCAAGTTGACTTTCCTGCTTTTGGTAAATGTGACAATGGTGGACTTCAGTGGGTTTACTGACAAGCCCTTTTCTGCGCACCAGTCTTCAGAACATATACATATGTATGTACATTAGACTGCATCACTCCCCATACACAAACAAAAAATCGGTGCTGTTTTTCCATTGGAATTATAAAATCTATTAATATAACTATTTTTGTCGCGAAACCTACCAAAATCCAATCTAGCCTACCAACCTACCAAATGGAAATAAACCTACTAGTTTTGGTAGGAAAAGCCCATGTGTGGCAACACTGTAGTCAATGTCAGCTTTAAATAAGCTTTTCGTGAGAAAGCATTCAAGAACGTGAGAATCCGTTTGTACGTGTACATTTGTACATATGCATATCTTAGGTAATTAGCGCTCAAACATAAGTATTAATCGTTTAAAAATATGTAGATATGAATGTTATTGTTTTTTAACTATTTAACGGTTATCTTCTTTTGGTTAGAAATTTGGTTAAACGAACCTACATTTATACATTTAGATATAGTAAGTAGTACAGTGAAACTTATCGGAGATGAAACCGCTTGGAATCAGCACCTTTTTCGTCTTAGAAGTGTACTTAAAAAAAGTTTGCTTAATGTTATATACGGCTTATATGAATAGTATATCTGGGTGATAATAAGTAAAATATGTATGTATTAAATCAGTATCGTAATTTATTAGCCGGGCGTGGTAATATACAGTAGGGTGGTCTAAAAATGGATGTGAAGAAGTAAAGTCGGAATTTGTACGCTCTCACACCCTAGGATTGTTCTATACCGAAAAAAGTATACCCTTATTTTTTATTTTGAGATCCAAAAATATTTAGAGGTCGCTCAAAGCGCCCAAAGTTTTTCATGTATTTTACATGGGGAAAACACAACTTTTCGTAGAAATCGTATAGAATAGTTAAAAATCTATATTTTTTTACCAGAAAACTATGTTTATCTGCAGGAGATTCCCAATAATAGTACCCAATTGTTTATTTAACCATTTTTTCATCCCAACCAATAAAAAATCGTTGGTATAAAAAAATGGTTAAATAAACAATTGGGTATTATTATTGAAAGTCTCCTGAAGAGAACCAGAGTTTTCCGATCGAAAAATGTTGATTTTCTACGAAAAATTTTATTTTTCCCATATAAAAATACATGGAAAATTTTGAGCGCTTTGAGCGACCTCTAAATATTTTTTGATTTCAAAATAAAAAAATAGGGTTATACTTTTTTTCGATATAGAACAATCCTAGGGGATGAGAGCATTACAATTCCGAATTTACTGTTTTTGGACCACCCTAATATTATTAAGATTAAAAGGGACCCTATATTTTGACCAGTTATGACTATTTTGCTTAAATTAGAATGTAATGGGCTATAAAACTGCTTACTTAGAATTTGTTAGTTGTAAAATTTTGTGTAATTTTACTAATTTTTCCACAAAGTTTGAACTCTAAATTTATACGGTTTTTGCTAGATAATGAGCTGTATTTTTATAATAAACATTAAATAACCAAAAGAAAAATATGTAGCCAAATCTGGTAAAATTTTTGTTGAATTTACTAATTTTCGTTCAAAGTTTGAACTCTAGATTTATATGGTTTTTGTTAGATAATGATCTATATTTTTATAAAAAATAATAATAAACATTAAACAACCAAAAGAAAAATATGTAGCCAAATCTGGTCAAAATGTCAGGTCCCAATTATTTTTCACATGACTCTATATAGATATAGTACATAAGTAATGCCCAAAAATGACATTTTAACAATACACTTTGAAGCCGAGCTACAAATACAAAAGTTTAAAAAAAAATCAAAAGGTGCCGGGTTTGGTAAGGTTGAACTGGCTGCACCCAGAAAAAGGGCAGCAAAGACAAGGCGGTTTTAAGTAAGTGCTACTTTAAGTGAAAAAATTAAGAAAATCTAAAAACCACATTTCAATTTTAATGTTAGAAGTAGCGTATTTAACAAACAACCTTATCAGCCTTGCGGCCTGCTTGGAAACACCCAATGCTGTAGCAGCATCCAATAAAATGATTTAAATTTTTATAGCGCATATTTCGCGTTCCAGAAATAAAATCAAGGGTCTTTTTGAAGGTTGCGAAGAAAAGAAAACACTAAACGAATTATCACGAATCATCAATTGAAAATTGCAAAAAGTTTTTAAATACATGTTTCTTGGGAAAATCGTGAAATTATGGATTCAGTCTCCTAAGTGGTACACATGTAGTTTTTGATAGCAAACATTGAAAACTTATAATTGGAAATTTTTAGTCCTTCAAAGGGTCCCATGTCTACCCTCGAGGTCTATTTTTCTTTTGCATTCTTGTCCCGAGATTGTGGTTATTTGGTATTTGAAACTCGTTTTCGTTGTGGAATTAGTTAATCTTAAAGATATGTAGATTTAACATCAAGTATACCTAGCTGGCTACCCAGT